GAATAAAATGGGGAAAAGAAACAATTTGCCTCTCAGGGTCCTCATAAGGGTAAGGAGTAGGTGGCTAATGAAGGGAATATCGTGCCCATGGCTCCTAGAGGCTGTTCATGACTGACACAAAGCTACATTTGTTTGAGACAGGAGACGGGGATAAATATACGAAAGAAGACGGGGAGAAGAAAGACCATGCAAAATTAGATGAGGCGAAGGCTGGGGCCCAAGGTAGGAGATGGAGACTGAGGCCCAAGGTAGGGGTGATCCCCTTCCTTGGGCCTCAGTCTCCATCTCCTAAGCCACCCTACCACAAGAAGAAATAGATGGGGGAGGGGGAGCCATAGGAAAAACTGTCTATTGTTAATGAATGCAGGCAACTTTGGTCCCCTGTGACAAACCAATGGAGTTACCTTTGCTGCTCATTATGCCAAGGTCAGCTCACTATCTACTTCTTTATATGTCTATTGGTATATGATCCAACTTCACTCTAAAAAGCCTAGTGATTTTGATTCCACATACTAATGATTAATGAAAATATCAGTATAACATTTTATGCACACTGCAAAATAATATTACCAATGTCTATTTGTGGGGTATATTAGTGCATATATGTATTTCACCTTATGCATATGTCGGATACCACTGTGGTATTGCAACCTTAAGCTTTGTTTTTGGATACTTCTTTTTTCTTAAGGGCTTTGTCCCTAAAAATAGGGAAAATGGGGTGTGTGGGTGGGGTAAAACCATTAATAAAAAAAAATATCCAACCTATTTTCAAATTTGGATATATTGTGTAATTTAGCATTCTGCGCCTTTTGGTACTAAATTCATATAAATCGTCCGGAGGGGGGCGAAGCCCCTCTCAATTTTTTTCCCCATTGTCCACATCGCTTGCGTCTGGCTATTGGCTCACACTGTAGCATACTTTACAATGAAAATCAACATAACCATCAATAAAATCGAGACTGACATTGCGTTTCATACAAAATTTGCCTTAATTTCCTATATAAAAAAGTTTTTCAGGTTTACAAAAAATTGCCAAAAAATGATCGCAATTAAAAAAAACGCATTTTTTAATAGCCTTCAAATAACAGTTTAGGTGAGGGAATTAGATCAAGTGAAGGATATTTATGCGTCTGAGGAAGGAGAACAGGTTGTCAAGGCAGAAGCTGTCGGATTCTGTAAGAATGTCTGATATGTTGGGAAGTCAGTGAAGGGAGGATAGGTGTGGAAAAGCAGAGATACGTGCTGTATTAAAGCGTGGACAGGACAACAGAACAGAATGTGTGGAACTGAAAGGACAGTACATAGAGGACATAGGGGCAGGTCAGAGCGTGACATTAGATAGCCGTGCGTTAGGCGGGTGTGGCCAATACGTAAGCGTGCGATGGCCGTCTCCCAACGTCTGTTCCTGTGAAATGGAGATGACAAAGAGGAGATTGATGGTTTTAAAGTATGTAATTTATTATTGTGGAGGTTTGACCAAAACGATTGCCATCGGGTATACACGAAGGTTTTAAAGTGGGGGTAATAATCCGTAGCTGGAAAATGCGAAAGCGTGGCTGTGGTGATGTGGACATTGCGGCATAGCGTGCAATAATATCTGCCTGTTCATTGCCAGGGATTCCAACATGGCTGGGTACCCAGCAAAATCTGACAGACTTATGACGTGTGGATAGATAGAACAACCAGTTCTGGATCTTACAGACAAGGGTCAAGTGCATAGACTTTTTGAGGGTTAAAGAGTTACGGGAGGCAGTAAAAATAGTGAAAAAGAAACAAAAAGCTGGAGGAGGAAAAGACCATGCAAAATTAGTCTCCGTCTCCTAAGACTCCCCACGACAACAACGGGCAAGGGACTGGGGGGGGGGGGGTAAATCGGATAAGAACTGTTCTGGAAAGATTGATGTTCCAATTAATTTTCTGATTTCTTTTAATCAGTCTCTAGCATCTAATCAGCAGATAAACTACATTCGTTTCCCTTTCTAATGCTACTTGTTAGATGAAGTAACATGGAGATTGGTTCCCAAGTAATAACAAATTTAGTAAAGTGACCCCCTACACAATGTTGAAAAATACGACCCCATGCAGAAACAAGTTTTTGTAATAGACCGTGATTCGTTTCTGTGGAATTCCATTAGCTTTCTAATGAAATCAACACATAGATCAGATATAAACTGTTTGGGAAATGCGGTACAGGGGCGCGGAAAATTTCAGTTTGAGGAAAATTGTGAATATTTTTTTTTTTCTAAACCTCTCCTTCAATGAAAATTTAGTATCTAATTAACTATAAACCTACACAGATTTCTTTTTCAAATGCTGTGTATTGTGTGAAGGTCTTGACTGGTTCCCGATTAACAACATAAACTAAAGCGGTACCTGTATACGCTAAATCTCGGCAACATGACGTATACATAAACGGAGTTATTGCATTGTTTTCTGGCATCTACTTGTGCTTACATTTGTATACATGTATATGTAGGTGTACATGCAAATTGCGTACACA